TTTTGTAATCTTTTTTTTTTTAAACAATAGCACAAAAATGTCTCGAGGGGGAAGCAGTCTGACAAATCTGATGACCTTCTGAAAAAATTAACAGTTAAGCCACACCAAATACGAATTCCTGTTAAAGAAAATAAGGACAAAAAAGGGAGGAAAAACCAAAAATAAAAAGCTGGAACTCCAACCTTTGTGTATTAGAGGGTGGCTGGTTAGTAGGACCACGCTGCTTTGGGAGGGGATGATGGCACGGCTTCTTCATCGTCATCGTCATCATCATCATCATCACTGATTTAAGGCTTCAGAATCGCATTTTCCACGGCAATGATGGAGAGGAAGGAGCAGGAGGAGCAGGGCAGCCCTGCCCGGGACAGGGGGCCGGGAGGAAACGGAATAAAATCAAACTGCACGAACCTTTCTGCTTTAATGTGGCTCTGAGAGGAGTTTCCTTTACAATCCCGACTCTGCTCGAAGGACATCAGCGACAGGGGTGGGGGAACCCAGGAGAAACAGAACAGGGGATTTGGGGGTTTTTGGGTTTTTTGTGGGTTTTACACAAAAGGGAAGGGGGAACCCTACGATCCTTGGGGCGGGAGGGGTTCAGGGACAGCTCCCCAAAACCTCGCACAGGTTCTGTCCGACCGCGCCTGCCTGGCCCCGGCCCTGCTGCACTCAGGGCCCCGCTCTGCCCTCAGCACCCCTGCTTTCCCTTCTGGGGGAGGGAGGGTGTAAAAAACAGAACATCTCTCAATAAGTGTCAGGAAAGGGGAGGGGGGTGTTAAATATTTTAACCACTGACAAGGCTTGAGGAAGTTTCACAGTTTTGTTATGCTCTATTTTATTACTATCATATTTACAGATTTTTTTTTTTTTTTTTTTTTTTGTATTTTTGTATTTTTTTTCTCTCTCTCTCTCTCTTTCTGCAGAATCGCTGATAGATTTTTTTTTGTTGCTGTTGTTGCTGTTGTTGTTTTTTTTTTTTCCGAACAGAATTTTCCCAAATTCTTGGAGTGTGTGAGCAGGAACCGATTAAACTCTACATTCACGGTCCAATCCCCACGGGCTTGAGGAGGAGGAGGAGGAAATAAACAAAAAAAAAAAAAATATATATATGCATTCTAGAATTTCAATTGAATAANAAAAAAAACCCCAAAACTTGCTGATTTCAGTGAGTGACCAAACTCCAGACCTGACTCAGATTTACCTCCAGGGCCAACTTGCCCTCCTTGGCCTTGCCCAAGGGCGTGTAGATGCGCACCAGGACTCCGCTTATGTCGACAACCCACCACAAACCACAAGAAAACCCCAAAAACCCCAACAAAACCCCAAAATTTGCTGATTTCAGTGAATGACCAGACTCCAAACACTCCAAATCCACTCCACATTTACCTTCAGGGCCAACTTGCCCTCCTTGGCCTTGCCCACAGGCGTGTAGATGCACACCAGGACTCTGCTTATGTCTACAACCCACCAAAAACCACAAGAAAACCCCAAAAAAACCCCAAAATTTGCTGACTTCAGTGAATGACCAGACTCCAAACCCCCCAAATCCACTCCACGTTTACCTCCAGGGTGAACTTGCCCTGCTCGGCCTTGCCCACAGGCGTGTAGATGCGCACCAGGACTACTTATGTCGACAACCCACCAAAAACCACAAGAAAACCCAGAAAAACCCCAAAATTCCGAGATTTATGTGAGTCACCAAACCCCAGACCCTGTCCAGGTTTACCTCGAGGGCGAACTTGCCCTGCTCGGCCTTGCCCACGGGCGTGTAGACGCGCACCAGCACGCTGAGTGCACCTACAACCCACCAAAAACCCAAAAAAACCCCAAAACTGGCTGATTTCAGTGGCTGACCAGACCCCAGACCCGTCTCAGATTTACCTTGAACTTGCCCTGCTCGGCCTTGCCCACGGGCGTGTAGATGCGCACCAGGACTCTGCTTATGTCGACAACCCACCACAAACCACAAGAAAACCCCAAAAAACCCCAAAATTCCGAGATTTATGTGAGTCACCAGACCCCAAACCGTGTCCAGGTTTACCTCAAGGGCGAACTTGCCCTGCTCGGCCTTGCCCACAGGCGTGTAGACGCGCACCAGGACTCCACTTATGTTGACAACCCACCAAAAAACCACAAGAAAACCCAAAAAAACCCCAAAATTTGCTGACTTCAGTGAATGACCAGACTCCAAACCCCCCAAATCCACTCCACGTTTACCTCGAGGGCCAACTTGCCCTGCTCGGCCTTGCCCACAGGCGTGTAGATGTGCACCAGGACTCCACTTATGTTGACAACCCACCAAAAACCACAAGAAAACCCCAAAAAACCCCAAAATTCCAAGCTTTATGTGAGTCACCAGACCCCAGACCCGTCTCAGGTTTACCTCGAGGGCGAACTTGCCCTGCTCAGCCTTGCCCACGGGCGTGTAGACGCGCACCAGGACTCCACTTATGTCTACAACCCACCAAAAAACCACAAGAAAACCCCAAAAAACCCCAAAACTGGCTGATTTCAGTGAATGACCAAACCCCAGACCCTGTCCAGATTTACCTCGAGGGCGAACTTGCCCTGCTCAGCCTTGCCCACGGGCGTGTAGACGCGCACCAGCACACTGTGTGCATCTACAACCCACCAAAAACCCCAAAAAACCCCAAAACTGGCTGATTTCAGTGAATGACCAGACTCCAAACCCCACAAGCTGTGTCCAGATTTACCTCGAGGGCGAACTTGCCCTGCTCAGCCTTGCCCACGGGCGTGTAGACGCGCACCAGCACGCTGTGTGCATCTACAACCCACCAAAAACCCCAAAAAACCCCAAAAAACCACAAAAAACCCCAAAAAACCCCAAAACTGGCTGATTTCAGTGAAAAGCAGACCCCAGACCCATCTCAGGTTTACCTCGAGGGCGAACTTGCCCTGCTCGGCCTTGCCCACGGGCGTGTAGACGCGCACCAGCACGCCGTCCTGCGAGCGCGCCTCCACGAAGTCGTACTCGCCCACCACGAAGGCCACCAGGTACGTGGACATGACGGGCGAGCGCGCGAACTTCACCTCCACCAGGCTCTCGTCGTCGGGGTACGGCCGCCGCTCCACCACGTTCTGGCACAAAACACAGCCACGTTGGGCCTTGGCGGCTCCAAAACCTCAACGTTTTACCCGAGCGTTGCGTTTTTTAAGGCACAAAGAGGTTCAGAAAGAGAGTCTTGAAAATAAGAGGAAAAAACCCAAGACGCAACTTCTAAATGGGATTTCAGATCATCCTGCTGCTGTCTTTATCACACTAAAACATTCAGGGAGTTGCTCCAAAATAACTCCTACATTACCATTAGGAGCAACTTTCCAGCTCCAGACTGGAATGATTTGGGGTAAAACCCCTCAGGTGCATCATGCCTGCTCCAAAGTGGGAATTCCCAACACGCTGCAGAAACCACTCCCTGCTTGTGGTTAAAATTCAAGGGATTCGGTGTTTTCAAGCAGTTCTCTCGTGGCTGAAGTGCCCCATCCCAGCTGCAGGTGTGATTTTATTATTATTAGGTATTCATAAATAATATTAATTATAATGTAGTTACAGTGAAATTATAAATATTACCATATTTATATTGTATACAAATATAATTATTACATATACTATATAATGATTACATAGTATATATAATTTTCCTATTATATTTCTATTGATAATATTAGCATATTATTTCTCTTATAATAATTTTTTTTCATATTCCAGTTATATCCCATTAGGAAATAAAGAGCATCAATCCAATCCCAGCAAGGCACCCCTCTAAATCCAGGCCCAAAAACCTTGTGCAGGGCCAGGCCAGGCCAGGCTTTATTTATTTATAAATGAATTTATTTATTTATAAATAAATGAAGCCTATTTTGAAACCAATTCTTCTCCAGCAACACCTAAGAACACGTGCAGGCAGCAGATCAAAAATGCTCATTTGTGTTTGTTTGTGTTTATTCTGTTTCCACATTTTGTTCCAGCTCTGGACAGAAACCCAGAGAGGAAAACTCACAAAGGATTTTTTTCCCAGTCCCTCTTAATCAAGCAGCACATGAAATTAATTTTAATTTTATTTTTTTAAAACCACCAGGTTTGTCCTGACATCAAATTTTGTGTTTCTCTCCCCATTTTTTGCAGATTTTATTTCTCAGCTGTTATCAAGGCAAAATTTTAATTATCAACGGCATATTTAATTAAAATATTTAGGAACTTACCATATTTGACAAAGCTACTCTGTCTTTGGGAACCACCAAAGAAATATCAAAGGTTGCTTTGATTGCAGGCTCATCCCAGCAAGGGAAAGCCCTGCGAGCATCAGTGGCCTGGAATAAAGAGAATTAAACAAACAAATCACAGCACATTGTGGTAAAAACCACAGAAATTCAATTTATTTCCAGCAAAAAAAGGGAGAATCATGGCTTGGTCTCCTCACTGCACTCCTGACCTCAGAATTAGGTTTTTATTCTTCTTTCACTCCCAATTTTAAATAAAAATTTGTCCAAATTGAGCAGAAGCACGGCAGGAGGGGAAGCACTGGGGGCACCCAGGCGTGCACAAACCACCCCAAATTTGTCCAAAAGAGCCCCAAAAATGCTCTGGTTGTGCTAGGGGAGTGCCCTGGGCAGCACCAGCCCAGCCCTGAGCTCACAGCAAGGAGGGAAAAATAAT